AAGGCGCATTAGCTCGTTAACCCGTCCTTAATTCGCGATTTCAACCGGATTGCGGCCTGATACCGAATCTGCTGCACGGAAGAAAATGAATACGCCAAAACCGGGATTCTTACGTTGTCCGCTCGAAAAAAAGAGAAAATCAAACAATGGAATACGGTCATTAGGAATTGATTATATTTATATTTGTATCAGCGTTTATATTACGTTGATGTATTGAGTGATAATAGAATCTTGAGTCGGTTAGAGAGATAAATATTTTTGCGCAAAGTGTCTTTGCCATATAGATAAAAGATATGTTGATATTCGTGGGATATTCTTGGAGAATTGATCGTGGAAGCTAAAAATAAACAAAAGCAAAAATGTCGATTCAGATTTATTCGTGCGAGTTGTAAGTAGTTTAGATTCGAATTGAGGAAAGAATTATAGTAAATATTGATAGGAAAGTTTAAAAAAATTATATCGACAGTTTACATTTGTTTCATATTAAATAGAATATATGTAAATATTTTTTAATTTATATATATCTTATTTAAAAGCTAATAAGAAATTTTATATTCTATAAATCTATACATAATGCATTTTGTATTATGCATGAAGAAATAAAATTTTAAAATTAGTTGAATTAGAAGAAAAGAATTCTTCTATATCGATTAAAATCAAATACACCCACAATGTACACACGATAAGCACAAAATCAAAATTTCCATCGCTCAAACATTCATCGAAATCCAATCCAATTAACCCTTTATTTAACTAATCCTTGATCAGTTCCAATAAACGTGAAAACTACAATAGCTTCGATACTGTTGCCTATCTATCCTCCCTTGCACTCTTGCACTAAAAACTAGAGAGAAAGAAGAAAAAAAAAAAAGAAAGAAAGAAAACAGGCAGGAAATCAAGAACAAAAGAAAAATTCGAGTTTTCTCCCGTATAACTGTAGAGGGAATCACGAAGAATCAAAAGAAGGCGGAGATACAATGGAGATACGGGAGACACGGAGGGGTAACGGTTGAAATTCGTGCACAGCTTTTCTCCCCTTTCGGAAAAGTCGCGGAATCTTTTAGTTGTATGAAGGGAAAAGCGGAGGCGGCATTTATGCGCGTAGACGGCAAGGTTCGCCCGTTCAAAGCGCAATAAGCAAGCGAAGCATGTAATCGACTATCTGGCAGTAAATCCTCTGCGGCGAATGTACACGGCCGGTCTCTGTGCCCGCGTATCGAGCCTCGGTTGCCACCCCAAATTCCGACTCTGTTACACCGCTCGCCTTCTCTTTCTCGTTCGCTCTCACGCTCGCTCCCTCGCCTCGTCCCTCTTCGCTCGTGTTATGCGCTCTCTACGATTACCGACCGAGGCTGTCATCGCGTATGTCGTCGGCCCGTGATTCACGCTCGAAACATTTTCGAGTTTTTTTCTTTTTGTCTTTTTTAAACGGCCGATGCTGAAACGTCGGAAATGACGGGAAAACGGGTGTCTCCTCCGTATCAAAGGGATTCTTTGTTACATACGAGAATTGCGTATGTAGGTATGCGAAATAAGCGATTCACTTTGGATACGCGAGGGGAGAGTTTTATTGGCCTGGCGATAAGGTTTCGTGGATCGAACAAGGTTTTACTTTGAATACTTGGACAGAGTCGTGGTTTCGTCGCGGTGAAATGTTTTCGAGTAATGTTTTAATAAATAGTAATTTTTGAAATTGTTAAAGGAAAAGTTGTTTTTTTTTATTTTGTTATCATTCAAGTTGTTGGATGATGGAATTCTAGAGCTCGATTGTGAAATCGATATTAAATACAGGTAACGATGATTCAATTTAATTTAATTATCTTTTAAAGGAAAATATTATGTTGTGTACTTCATTTTGAGTAAAATTTTGTTGTGTAAAGTTTATTGTTTTGCGATACAATAATTAATCATTACAATATTAAATGACAAAAATATTACTCTCCAAAATATCAATTATTATTTATTTGTAATTCACTATATCAGGTTTAATTTCGTTAATTAAAATTATTAATTTCTATTCGCTGTCGTTTGAATGTATAATTTACTAATAATTTTTTCCTTTGTTTTAGGTAAGTGATTTATATCAGCAATTATTCTTCTGAGGAGCGCATGTGTAAGTAATAACTTATAAACTTTGAAAATATTTTAATTAAGATTATATTATAATCTTATATATATATTAAATAGCATTAAAACTTTTGGGTTTATGGATTCACACATTTAACAAACTCGTTTAACGTGATATATATTTAATAATTATGGTTAACGTGTGCATAATGCGAAGACACATAGTTGAAACGGAAGAGAGCCATGCAACATGCTTATAACAAAGGAACAATGCTTATAATGGTTACAGCTAAGGAGAAGCGAGTGTTGATTTAACTCTTTGTATGTTTTCAGATGTTCTAATTAAATTTAAAATTAAAATTGGAATTAATTAAGAATTAAGAATTAGTATAATAGCGTAGTATGGGAATGACATAAAAATTAAAAAAAAAAGAACTCAAAAGATTCTGATTTGTTTTTCATTAAATAATAATTTAATATTTTTCATAATTTCCATTCTATTTTTATATGTATAATTTTGATTATATTTAAAGTGATAAGTTTTTTCTGCATCAAAAATTTCTTATTTTTTTCTAAATTAAAAAATATTTTGAAATATAACTTTCTTACATGCAATATTAAATTCCTAAAACAATTCCATAATCTAATTGTATTTTCTCGCTTTATATTATTAAATTTCAAAGGGCAAATACTTTGATAAATAGTATTTGTTTGTCTGCGAAAGAAAATTAAACAGTTTGCAAACAGTTATCCCTGGTAGTAAACCTTCATTGCGGAAAAAACTTATTATATCCAAGAGCAAAGGGCGTTTGCTTCAAAGAAAACGGAACATTTAATTTAAATACAAGTATTTAACAGTGACTTCATGAATCTTACTGAAATGAGTTTTGTAAAGAACATGATACATTAAACAGAAACATTTTAATATCATTCTGTTAAATTGTATAAATAAGATTTGAAATAATTAGATTCTTTTGGAATAATATTACTCCATAATAAATTTTAATGTAATTAAGTGCAAGTTAAATAATTAAAAATTTAAATAATTGAATACAATTTATATAATCTTTAAATAATCTTTCATCAATTATATCATTATGAATTGTGTGTTTAATTGGACTGACATGACATGTATGAAATTGCATATAAAATTATTGATAACATTGATATAACATTCAAAATATTTATATTAAAAGAAATAAAATTCATTATCGATGAAAAATTTAAATTGGCGAATATAATTTGACATAAAAATTAAATCGAATCAATTATTAATGAAAATTTTTGATGGACAAGAATGTATTTTGTAATAACATATATGTTAAAATAAATTAAAATTAATTTAGCAATTTAAAATTGAAAATATTTCTTATATTGCAAGAATTAAAAAAAATTATTTATTTATCTTACGAAATATATATTACGTTTATTTTCATTATTAATTAATCAATTTATTGGATATAACAAGGAAACTTAATATCCTAACATTAATAAATATTCATCAAAAAAAGTATACACCAATATATTAAAATTACTAAATTAAAAAGATTAAAACATGCAATAATTAAAGGCTAAAATTTCAAATTAATAAATATTGGCAACAAGTTGTTATTAGTAAACGCTAAAATTAAACAATTTATTTACGTTAAAAGGCTACTTAATCATTAAACACGATACGATTATTAAACTCTGATATTCTTAAATTAAAAAATACCAGGAATTAAACTAGAAAATTAAACAAATTTTTAAACACATTAAAGGGCGAAATGTTAAATTTTCCCGCGATCAAGGTGATACAAATCGCAAGAATGTCGCTTAGGAATGTTGATTTATTATTTCACTAGGTAGACTCTAAAAGGAGATCCGGTCGTTACGCAGGAAAAGCTCGTTAACTCGCAATTTCGGTGGAAATTAGTTAAGTAGTTTGGCGGGTTTTCAGCACGCGATTTTCAATGCCGCGTGGATCTCGTTTAACGCGAGATTCGTTCCCAGGAACAAAAATCCGCCGCAAGGGGGATGTAGTTGGCGAAAATTGTTGTGGTTCGAGGAGAGAATATTTTGTTCGACAACCGGGAGCCGAATCATTCAACGAGGGTCGTGATTGGTTCGTTAACTGCCAAGTCGAGTGGCGCGAGTGATTTTATCAAAATTTCCTCCTTGGTTCGAGCAACGACGCGTGATATTGAATATCGCGAAACAACAATCTTCGCGAAACGAGAATCTTCGAATAAATTTCTTAATTCCTTAATTCGATTGAAATTGTATATTTAAGTAATAAAATAAATAAATCTATTGAGGCAATAATTTTCACGATTTCGAATATTTATTACGATGAATTAAGAGAAATTTATCCGATTTGTTCATATTCATTCTGAACTAATTTTGTTTGATGACAGTCATGTTTGTGGCATGTCATATTGTATGTTTTTATCGTTTAAAAATCGTAATGAAAATTATAATTATGATGAATTTTAATGGAAATATGCGTGATTTACATACTGATATAATTTTGTGGTTTGTGAAATTCAAAAAAATATTTATATATTTTGTTATGTTTAATTTAGATAGTTCTATTTTTTAGAAATAATTTATCTAGAAATTTCAAAATTATAATATAAATAGAATAAATATTGAAGCTTTAATAAATTTCTAATTTTAAGATAATTGTGACGTCTGATAATGGATAAAATTAAACACGAGTCTAAAAAGATTCTTTATATAAATTGCTTCCAACTTTAAGTTTAATGGATTCTCTATACAATAGATTTGAACTTGAACAACTTGATTTATAATAATTTTTTTCCCCTATAATATTTTTGTCTTCTATATCATTTCTAACAAACAAAACTGTTACAAGAAAAACTAATTTCGTTATTAATTAATTAAAAATTATTATAATTAATATAATATAATTATAATTAATTAAAAATTACCTTAATTATCGAGATTCGTTACTTTTCTTCCTTGAACACTTTTCAAATATTCGTATTAATTTGCGCTTAACAAATCAAATATAAATTCCATCGATACCGATTGGCACCGATTCGCAGGAAAACTAAGGCAATCGTCTGAAATTTTTCCTTCAAGACCCTGCAATTTATGCCGTCTTAACACGGACTATTAGATATTGCCAAGGCGTGTATGCACATATCCGGTGCATAAAACTTGGCATCGGAATTGATGGGGCCAATACGAGGAAGGGGCGTGGGCGGAGCGGACTAATTTATTAAATCCGGTTTGGAGAACGTAACACGCGCGCGATAACACGACGAGTATATGAAATCGTCCACGCCACACAAAGAAGAATTTGGTCTAAGTTGTACTTGGATTAAGACAAAGCCAATTCTTCGCCGGCTATGAAAAATGACTCTTGGCTCTTGTCGCATTACTTCATTTAAGACTTTGTACTTTAGATTGAGCCGTATACTATGTCGTTTCGATATATTTGATGTTAGGATTTCTTTATTGAAAAATTCAATCTATTTCGATGAGTTTTAATAGTTGAGATTTAATAAATTAAATAATGATTTTGAGAATTTCGTAACGTGACAAATATTATAGGATAACTGTTTATGTTTTTAAAAATATACATATATTTTTTTTTTTTACAAAAAGATAATATGTTAATTCTCCAGGAAATGATAAATAAGGTTTTACATATTGTTAGTGGAATTTTACGAATGACAAGATACAATTTTATCAATTCGTTAATGTTATGAATAATACAAGTGTATACTTGTAATTTTACAAAAATATTGTGATAATACGTGATCGCGTTGCCAATATCGTTCCCTTAAAAATCGATCGACAACGTTCAATCCTATAGAATTATCATATAATACTTGTTATTTCATTTCATTTTATTATTATTATTTTTTCTTTTCGAAAATAAATATTCGAAAGAATATTAGCCATTGAATCGCGAGTCGATCATACGCGATCGTTCCAATCCGATTACGCGATTGCTTCTCCCACGTGTTCGAGCAGAAAAAACCGCTCGGTTTCGATTACTCGGAACAAAAATATAGAACGTGTTTTTAGAAGAAAGCCTGTGATAAAGCTTAATCGATGGAATCTCGTCGATCGATCGAGATGTGACGATTTAGAGTGATGGTGAATTAGATCGTTTACAAAGATAATATAAAAAGAAACGCGTATGATTTATCTGATGGAATTTACAGTTCTGTTATTTCCTGTGATTAATCACAGAGGGCAAGGTGTTTTTGATCGAGAATCGGTTCGAAGAAAGAAAAGCTTCCCGTAACAGGAAATTCGATTATGGAAGTTGTCATGCGGATTCATTCTTGTTGCTTGGATGAACGAGGTTTCATCGAGTTTCAAAGGCGTGGGCATTGCGGAGGTGTTTCCATTCTGTTGAATTAGATGTTCGATCAAAACTTTTTGTATCTTCTGAAATTTCGAACAACGAGAAGTAATTTGTTAATAAATTAATCGAAAAATTGATTAAAAGTTTCCTAAAAGTAGCGTGTTATACATATAAGGGAGATATTTTAAGTTATCATTGAAAGATTTAATCCTTGTTAATCTGTATTTGAATCAGAAATTTTGAAATTAGACAATCGTCGAATATTTAATTTTCATTTGTATTCTATATACGATAAATGTTTATTTACAACACGTGAATACAAATTATAACGATCCAATTATAAATAGGAGATTTGCAACGACATACGTTTGTTTCAACAAAGATTATCCAACTCGTGTTGTTACAATTAATAATATTAGTACATGTATAGTCAGATATACGAGACAAAATATAAATCACGTATTATAAATGATAAAGAAGATCAAAAATATTCATTGGATCGTCATATGATCTATCAAGATCGAAAGGATTAATTAATTAACTCGATTGTGATTATATATCATGATGATCTTTCTATACATTTGAATTTATAATATATAAATAATTGATTATATTCGTACGATTTTTTTTTCTATTTAATCAATTGATAAATTAATAATAAAAATCTTTAAAAATTTTCCCATATCGATATATACGATATATTGGAAGGAAACAATTCATCCCTGATTTCTCCTGAAATTGGCTCGCAATGTTTGAACATAAACGTTGATACACGGTTTCCGATCGAAATGGATATTTTTTTGAATAAAAATACACAGGTGTCCGTGCGCGAATGTATCAATAGCAAAAAATATTCGCATGATTTCACGAAAAAATATATTCAGTGACAAACAGCGATAAATCGATATCTCTCCCCCCCCCCCCCCTCTCTCTCTTTTCATAAAGAATAATCGCGTTTTATTCTTTTTTCGAGCAAATGTTACCCTTCAATGAGATTATTATTATTACATAAAGAATTCAAAGATCAATCATATATTTCGAAAATGAATAGTCGCATGGTCGTTTAATTAACACATTAATTAATTTACTAATCGAAAGTTGAAAATAATCTTTAAGAAGGAAGAAAGGAAAACGGTTATGCGCGATAATTTTTTGAAAATTACTAGATGCTTACTATGGTATCATCAGTATTGAAACTCGATTGTGTGTCGTACTGTTTACCCTCTTGGAACACTGTCAGCTTTCAAGATGCTTGACGCGTCGATCGTGATCCACGTCGCTTACAACACGACACGCGATGTTAGACACGACTGGCATCTACTTCGACACCTTGCATCATACCCGATTGCCCTGATTCCATCACCCAGTTATATATCCAAACATCCATTGACATTACACTTATTGCTCTCGATCGTTTGTTCTTGTTACGTTCCGGTTCGATTCACGTTTCGATCAACATTTATTTTTTTCGCTCGATAGTTGTTGTATCGGAATTGTACGATAGTGGAGAGATTGTTCGATCTATCTTTGCGAAAAACGAATTTTTCAAGCGACGAAGGGAACTCGTTTTTAATATTTTAATTATGAATATTTTATTTTATTATTTATTCTATTATTCAATTGTTCGAAATCGTTCTGTATACGCTATTTTCGACGATGTAAATGGACGTCTTTTCGTTACCAGGATAGAAATAAAATTTAATTTGCAATTGACGTTGAACACATTCCTGTCTAGAATGTGTTAATTATTGAAAGAAAAATTATTGAGAGTGTTAAGAATTGGGCAAAAATGTATAATATCGAAGAATGGAAAATATTCATATCATTATCTTAATATCGCTTTAAATAAATACATTATTTTTCTCGAAATGTAGAATAATTTATTTAAGAAAATTCTTCATTACATTTGTCTGTTTTATAAAAAAATGTGCATTAAAACGATCATAATTATATTGAGAATCTCATCAAAAATCGTTGATGCAATTTATCGGAGATTTATATCAAATAATTGTTATATATACCCTTTCTTACTTTGTACTTCAAGTATAAAAATTGGAAAAAATCCTGCGTTTTTTTCCACTCCTCTCTTTTCGATCCTCATTGCAATGCTTCTGGCGAGGAATATATCGGCGTATATTCCAACGGATCACCGATTGAAATATTCAATTATATAAACTCGCGTGGACAGTCGCGTATTTCGCTTTATCTTTTTCGTTCGCGTCACTTTCAGTTTAACTTTGCCGCGCGGAGTTGATTCACGTTTCATTTAATCGCGAAACGCCGCGAAGGGAGAAGCAGCAACTCTGGTAACCGAACGATTTCTGGCGATATTTGCGTCCAAACTGTATGGAAATCCCTGTCTCCCGAGCACCGTGCGCGCAAAGCTTATTTACGTTGGTAAAATGGCCGGGCCGAAATAATAGAAAACTCGTGAGGTATCTCCGATCAGGGAGGGTGGAATTGGATTAAACGAGCCACGCGAATCAATCATCCTTAATTTTGATGTCAATCGTTTGATTTCTGAGAATTTAAAATAATCGATTCTCCATTTTAAGAATTCTTTAAAAAAAGGAAGAAATAGAATTCGTCGGAAATTTTTATTATCGCATTAATAATAAATTTTTATTAGCGCATAATTTTTATATTTTTATAATCGCATTAATTGTTTTATACTTTTATCGCCATATAGTTTCACTTCTTTATTATCCATTACCATGTTTTTGATACGAAAGAATGGAAAAGAATTTGACATTAGCGGCTTAATTGTTTCATTTATAAATTTTTAAATGTTATTTAAATTCTCTCGTTTAATTTATTTACATACATGTTTAATAAAAATAAGAAAATAAGAAAAAAAGAAAAAATAAGAAAGAATAAAATACACCGTATAATACACCGAGGGACAAAAATAGAAAATATTTCGTTAAATTTTCGATTTTTATAAAAAAGATTAATGAATGATTCGTGTATGAAAATGTAATAAAAAAATCTTTTCTTCTTTTAATCTTTTTGTTTTTTAAGTAAATTAACTACTATGATTCTTTTTAGAGATGAATTATCGTTAAATCGATTTATAAAGCTTCGACAAGCATAAAACTTTTTCATTTATTAATTGAATCCAATTAAAATGAATGCTTCTAGAACGGCAAACGGTTTAATCGTGTTAATCAACGATTAATCAATTCATCGTTCACTTCTTGTATCTCTAATTAGTAGCTCTTTTAAATGTGATTACAGTAATCTCTGTTTGTTTATGCCGCGTGATAAATTATCAAATAAAATTAATTGGAAAAAAAGAAAGTTTTTGTCAATAATTTCATGTATTACGTTCAATTTTTTCCTCTTATATATTATTTATTGTTTTGTATTTTGGATACAAAGAAGAAAAAGAAGATTGTAAAATACACAATACAATAATGAAATTGTTACAAGAGAATTAAAATAATTATTTACATTACATATTGTAGGTACATTATATATTACAAAGAAAGAATATTCTTTAATCTTAAAAATTATACGATTATCTCGTAATAGAAGAAGATATTAAAACAAAATTTTAAACGTATATCAATATAATTAATAATGAGTAAATTGATAAAATAGAATGAAACGAACTTCGTTAAATGATAAATTTAATTTTCTATTTTGTCAATCTTATATCTATTGATAGGATCAAAAGATGCTAGCATTTACATTAAATGCTTTGTCAATATATTTTAATCTTGTATCGTAATAATTGAAATTGAATAGTTAT